TTTGGATCTGTGTGACTGAGTTCTGACCAATGGAATTGGGCCTTAAATAGTGCACACACAATTTTCAGTCTTTTTTCTCTCATTGATTTCATGTCCAACAAAATGTAATGCAAGCCACATTGGAGTTAAAAATTTCTACTAGCCACATAAAGATAAGAAACAGGCAATTTTAAAATAATTTCAATATATTTAACCAAATGTATCTAAAACATTATTTTAATATTTATTGGTATAAAAATTAACAAGATGGGACCAGCAGTGAGTGTAATGGCTGTGTCGCTGGACTGCCATGTAGCCAACCACAGTTTAAGTCCCAGACCCAGTGGCTTAAATTCACGCTGGGTGCATGTGCGTGCGTGCCCAGGATCCTGGGAGGACAATGGAGAAGAGGAGATTGTAGTGTGGCCATCCCCCCTAGGGGGGTGATTTCTCGCTTTCTGTCTCTCTTTCTCTCTCTTTCTGGTGAGCTCACACATCCTATAGAAGAAAACTCTCAAAAAAATTAACAAGACATTTTACATTAAAAAATAATGTCTTGGGGAACAGCAGTTAGCATAATGGCTATGTTGCTGGACTCCCATGTAGTTGACCGCAGTTCGTGTCCCAGACCTGGTGGCTTAAACTCACACCAGGCGTGTGTGCATGCATCCCCAAGATCCTGAGAGGAGAATGGAGGAGAAGGACTTCCAGGTTGCGGCTTGACCATACCCCCTGGGGGGTGATTTCTCACTTTCTGTCTCTGTCTCTCTCTGTCTGGTGAGCACACGCGCCCTATAGCAAAATCCTCTCCAAAAGAAAAAAAGTCTTTGAAATCCAATGTGTATTTTACACTTATAACACAGAACAGACACATTTAAAGTGCCCAGTAACAATGAATGTTTAGTGATTTCTGTGTTAGGGCAGTTCTAGAGGTGCTGCTAATCTGAAATGGCAATCTTGGATCAGCCTAGGTCCCTGAATGACTGGGTGGAATAAAGCTCCCTGGGGACTCTTGTTAGGCAGTAATATGCACAAGAAACAAACCTTTGTTTACTTACACTTTGTTTATTGCAAAAGCTTCTAATTTCCTAGGCTGACTAGACACCACTAAAAGTTTGAGAGACATTGAATTATATAGTATAAGAACCAAGGCAAAAACAGCAGATGGCATAATGGTTATGTTGCTGGACTCCCACATAGCTGACTGTGGTTAGAGGCCCAGGCTTGGCCACTTGAAACTCATGCCAGGCACATGTGTGTACATGCCCAAAATCCCATAAGGAGACTGGAAGAGAAGAGATTGTTGTGTGGTCATCCCCCCTGGGGGGTGACTTCTCGCTTCCTGTCTCTTTGTCTCCCTCTGTCTTTCTGGCAAGTGCAAGTGCCCTATAGCAAAATCCTCTCAAAAAAAAAAAAAAAAAAACCCAAAAAAAAAAAAAAAAAAAAAGCAAAGGAAGAGCCCAGTGATGATAGTATTTTAGTGTAACTATGACAACAACATTGGAGTTACAGATGAGGGAGAGGATGCAAGAAGAATTGATGAGGGGGTTTGTCTCTGATTGGATAAAAGGGATGAGAGATGGAGAGAAAGATTTCTGGATTGTATGAATTCATTCTAGTAGATAAAAAAATAAGTGGAAAAGTTAGTTTAGAACTAATGTTAGTTAAGTTTAGTGTTATTGACATTGAGTTGTCTATGGGCTACCTATTTAAGTTCAGTTCAGTATTAACTCTCTAGTATGTGCCAAATCAGGTGCCAATGTCCCTGCTCTCAAGAGTCCTCAAACTGGTTAAATAGAAAAAGTCAATGCAGTCTGCAAGAGCAGTGATAAAGGATACCCACAGTGCTCTTGGAGGCCAGAAGAGATAGACCTAATCTGGCAAAACAGAGAGTGATGGGTTTGGAAGTCTCTTTAGAGATGATACCTAAGTAGAGTATTAAAGCATGAACAGAGAGGTGTGGTAGTGTAGAGCGGGTATGACATGGTATGACTAGAGAAACAGAAGGAGAAATGCGTTGAGAGTATTCAACGCAGAGGGGACCACACGGCATAAGCATTGAGGTCAAGTGCTGCATGTTGGTTACCACAAGGACCTTACTACCTCTGAAGGGCAAAATATCAAAGAGAAAATCCCGTGAAATAAAGCAGGAACAGGAGAGGAGCAATACCAGAGGGCAGAGAATACTTTTTTTGGGAGAGGTTTTTGCTATAGGGTGCGTGTGCTTGCCAGAAAGACAGAGAGATAGAGAGACAGAAAGCAAAAATATCACCCCCTGGGGGGACCACACCACAATCCCTTCTCCTCCATTCTCCTCTTGGGATCTTGGGCATGCGTGCACACACCCCTGGTGTGAGTTTAAGCCACCAAGTCTAGGACTTGAACCGTGGTCGACTACATGGGAGTCTAGCAACATAGCCATTACACCAACTGCTGGGCCCAAGAATACTTTTTTTTTATGTTTGACTTTGTGTCATAGGTTGATGTTGGAGAATGGATTGAGTGGACAGGAGCAATGACAGCAAGAACAAGTGGGAAATTTAGCAATAACTGAGGGGAGAAAAGAGATGAGGGAAATGAATCTGGATGGTGTGGCATTAAGGGGGAGGAAGGGTGTGACTTTGGGAATTTTTGGGAAGTTAAAATCCTGAGTTTGATGATGTGTGGGTATTAGGAGTGAAGGAGAGAAAAGAGGAAAGGGGAGTCGGGGAAGCCTCATAGATTTCTAGTGGATGTCTGGGTGAATGATAGTGCTAACTGGGGAAAATGAAGGGAGAAAAGCAAAGCATACCAGGGACTGGAGAACATGGAAGGTAGTTACTTCCCACCTAAAACATTCCAAGAAAAACAAGCTAATGCAAAATAATGACTCAGGACTACAAATCTACATATGCCTTTCTCTGGTCTTTTCCCCAAATACAAACTAAAATGAATTTTCCTTTTTACCACCACCATTCAGAGAAAACTAAAAACTAAGGAGCCAATGTTTAACGAGAAGTACAAAGGTTGTAAGAAACTCAGCACCAGCTGCCTGTGGAATTCCCTGTGGAAAGACAGTGAGAATCAAGATGCTGGGTACAAGATGACATTGAAGAGGGGGCTGGACATGTTTGACCTCTGGATTTGGAACTGCAAAAGAAGCAGAGAAATGTCATGAGCTTCTGGCTGTGGCTGGAACATGCTGGAGGAGAAATGGAAGAGAAAAGTCTTTCAAGAAACAGGGAATCCGTGGGACCAACTTGAGAAATTCTAGAGACCTCCAGAAGTAGGGCAAGACAACATGCTGGGCCATGGGTGGGGAAATGGTTATGACTCAAAACTTGAATCGACTCTGGAATTGAATGTGATTCAGTTTTTATTTTAGTTGGACTGAAATTTTCCCATCCTTTAAGTTTGTTCTGCACCGTCAGCTCTTTTCTGTGTCTCGGGGTGCACTGGATCAGATGGAAGGCATGCCGGAGGAAGAGAAAAACATTCCTCTGTTGATCTCTGGTTGGCCTTCATCTTCAAAGGAAGCCTGAGTCTGGAGGCAAGACTGGACATCCTGGCCTGAAAACACTGTCTCTTCCTAGCACTTCACTCTCAGGTCAAACCTTAGGTTGCATTTTTTGGGAGAGTCTTGTACTTTCACTATATAAACCTAAGTAATATGCCATTTTTCCAGGGCTGTTATTTTATTTGCTTAATTCATTTTGGAATGGTTCCATCCACAATATTGGTTATAATATAAGAGCGTCAATGCTTCGTTGTCTTGAAGGTTTGTGAAATTGAGAACTTTTTTTTCCCTTTAACTTTGCAGAGGGTACACACACTCATTGGAGAGAGACAGAAAGAGACAAAGTGAGAAATCACCATCCCATGAGTAATGGTCAAACCACAATCCTATTTTTTCCACTTCTCTCTCCTTTCAGGATTTTGGGCACACATGCACTTATACCTGGTGTGTTTTCAAGCTGATAGATCCAAGACTCAAACTGTGCAGTCAACCATGTAGGATCCAGTACTTAATCATCAGGTCACAAGCTGAATTACTGACATAATTTTAATAAGAAAAAATAAGGAGAGACCAGCAGATGGTGTGGTGATTAAGGCACTGGACTCCCAGATGGCAGACTTTGATTTAAGTCCCAGACTTGGGGGCTTGCTTTCTCACTTTGCCTCTCTCTCTCTCTGTTTCTCTCTTGTGAGTATGTGTGCCTTATAGAAAATTAATAATAATAATAACATATAAAAATAAGTAATTACTTTAAGAAAGAAAAAGAAAGAATAAGTAAACAATTTTTTTTGCAAATTTTATTATTATAGAGTGATTATTACAAGGGTTTAACAGAACAGAATTAGACTTGCTGTTTGCCTTGTGAAACCCTAATAATTTACAAAATTTAAGTTAATAAATATAAAACTAGATTTAGTCTTTCTCTCTTTTCAGACATTTCATGCACTTCTAAAATACAAAGAGGAGAAAATCCTGTATTTGTATGTAATAAAAGCTCAGAAATTTTCCACTGCCATTGAATCCTATACGATTTTCCTAGGCAGATTGATAATCGTTTTCTTTCACCTTTCTCAGAAGACTTAAGAAACATAAATAGATCCATAAATAGTTCATATAAATATAGGTTTTACCTTTTAAATAGTACAATTCCCTAGTCTGGAATCTTGTCTTCTTTAAAAAAAAAATACAAAATAAGGCAGGTAATACATTGTAATGGAATTACTCCAAAGTTCTCTTGGGCATGTTAAATACATAAATAACTTAAAACCCTTAGAAAAGCAAACAAGAAGTAAATTGGTAGTCAGTCTAAACCTTCCTCTTTGTGGGGAGAGAAAGATAATTCAGATCCTATCTCTGAACCAAAGCATTACTCCTGAAGCTTTAGTTGGATGAACAGTTTTAAGATCACTAATGATTTTAGTCAGAAATGGGGTTGGGTCTTTGAAGCACGAGAGTTCCTGACAGACTAGATCTACTCCCCAGAAAGCCTAATTGTTTTGGGTAGCTTCAGATCCAACCAAAGCTTTTAGACAACATGGCGGACGATAGGGGTGACACAGGTGCAGCCCACAGTCACCAGTATCTTCTCCAGCCGGAAGGAGCGGGGACAGTGCTGAGATTCCCTTCTCAGGACCAAGATCTCTTGCTGGATGGGGACAGAGTTCATGTGGTGGTTCACTTTCCCTTCAGCATCCACACAGCCCAAATGGCGGCACTTTGCCTCCCAGATCACAGGGGGATATCTCTCAGGGTCCTCATTGCGGCTGTAAGGGAGACAAAAACCAGGAGGAAAGTGAATTCTTAGTAAATCAGGAAGGAAATCAAACAAGAATAAATGAAGAAAGGCAAATCCACAGAATGGCAAAATGTAGGTATTGCAAATTCTCTAAGTGATGATAGTGTGAAGAACTTTGGAGGGAAATGGGGGGAATCTGTGTTTGTCGAGCACATAAAGTGTGATTTTGTGATTGAAAAAAGACAATGATAGGGCTGACAGGCGACATGGTGATTAAGGTGCTGGACTCCCACATGGCTGACCACGGTTCAAGTCCCTGACCTGGTAGCTTGCTTCCTCACTTTTCCCCTCTCTCTGTCTCTCTCTATGTCTCTATGATCAAATTAAAATAATAATAATAAGAAGAAATAAATAATTAAAATAAACAATTATTTTTAAAAAAGACAATGATCAGTATTTTTTCAATGTCTTTGAAGAATGAACAAAATAAAAGAGACTAAGAATATAAAAAGGATTTAAGCTTAAAAAATAATAACCTTTTTTTTGAGAGAGAGATTTTTCTATAGAATGCGTGTACTCACCAAAAAGACAAAGAGAGGAAGAGAGACAGAAAGCAAGAAATCACCCCCTAAGGGGGATGGTCATGCTGCAATCCCATCTCCTCCATTCTCCTCTCAGGATTCTGGGCACGCATGCACATGCGCCCAGCGTGAGTTTGAGTCACTAGGTCAGGATTCAAACTGCGGTCGACTACGTGGGAGTCCAGTGACTTAGCCATTACGCCAACTGCTGGTCCCTTTAATAATTTTTTAGGATATGTTTTATAGATGGAAAAAGACCAAGGGACGAGTAAACTTGGAATAACCTAGGAATAAGAGAGTTGTTCATCTGATTTGATGCAGTCTATCTTTGAAAGAGGGAGTGCATTGAAACTTCATCAGAAAGCACATTTATGAGACAAGGCCCAGTGCAGATGTGAAGGACTAGAAACAAGAGTTGAAGTCTCTCTATAACCTTCTCTTCCCTGGCTCTATCAGCCAAGTAAATGATTTTCTTAATTTTTGAATGGATTTGTTCGAACTATTCTTGGTAGTGAGAAAAAGAGAAGAAATCTTACTGTTGGGTCATTCTATAGGCTCCACATAGAGACTTATTTGCATCAAGTTAAATAATCAAAATACATTTGTAGTTAATCCTTGATGGAGTCCAAATACTAGGTGTACTAAGGACACAGCAAATATAGGCATTTTGTGGATAGAGATCAAGATTACTTAACTCAAAAAGGGGTAGAAATATTTAGCAGGTTACTTTCTTCACTGGGATTCAAGCTATCTGTTCCCAGTGCTGATGTGATTAAGAAAAAAAAAGTTCTAAGAAAAACTAGTAAATTATTAGTTATTTACAACAAGTCTCCTCAATAGCTCTAGCAGAGATTCAAGTATTAATCTGCTACAGTAAATATCTATTTTTAAAACATAAATAAACACTAGACTTAGGGTCTTATAAATAGCAGAATAATGGTTACCATCAATTTGGGTTGGTTTTTGGTGTCAGTGGCAATGAGATTTATCAGGATAGGTGTTAGGAGGGGAGGAGCATTCTGTGCTTTGTCAAGGAAGTCACAGAATGATTAAAGAATTACCATTCTGCACAGTGGCCCTTCCAGGTTTGAGTGATCATTTTGAGTGAATAAAGTCATCCTCTAGGTGATTTAACTAGCACTCTGATGCATGAGAGGGGTAAAGAATACAGACTTTTTTTATCTGGGACCCTTACGTACTGGAGAGTCCAAGGTGAAGTGGATCGTTTGTAGTAATCTGAGGCTCTTTTGGAATTTGTATTCTGGTTAAGGATGTTCATGTTGACGTTCACAGTTTGGGGGAAGTTCCTGTCCTCAGTACTTGGGCATTCTGGATTTCGAGAGACTGCTATTCCTGCCTTCACCACAGCCACCAGACCCAATAGCATTAGCAGTGCCTGCAACTGGATAGGAAAGGAGAGAGAGGTGGGAGACTAGATTAGTAGGTGTTTACAAAACTTTTTTAGAACAAATTAATTGTGATGATCATTATATTCTAATCATAGAATGCATACTATGTTCTAGGACAATCTATACTACATTTTCTGAACAGCTAAATAAAAAACAAATTGCATGACCAAAATAAGGTGACCAAAAACTATTGAGTTTTCATTTGCTTATCAGTTTTCAACATTGTTTTTTGATGTAGGAAAGACATATTGTACATTGGCTGGCAATAATTTTAATAAAATGTCAATCCTGGCATGTTCTCAGTCTGTCAGCACATTCCCGTTGTCAGGTCAATGGGATAATCATGACCTTGACTTTTAGGAGGGAATGCCCTCCTGCATCAATGTTGTTGGTCCTAACATCCTGTGAAACCCTACTTGAAGTCAGATGTGGACCTTGGAGGAAAGGGCCATAGAAAATCAACATGGTATCAATATTCATGTTAGAATGCTGCTGGCGCTACTGGAAAAGAGCCACCTAGAAACTGCACCCTTCCTATGTCTTCTTAGGTATATTTTCCAGTTGTTCTAAAGTTTACATGTATAGATCCTATAATAAAATCAAATATTTAATAATGGTTTAAGTATTTTAAACATATAAAGCCTATTTACTCTAAAAAACTGTTATATAAATGTATATGTATGTATACACACACACACACATATATATATCTCATTAGAGTGTACCCAGACCATGGTATAAGATAAGGGAAACAAAAATCACTGCCACAGCTTTCAAATCCTCAAAGATAGTGACCTGTTTTATTACAGATTGAAGAAATATATCGTGGGAGAAATGCATTAAATCTTTCGTACTCAGAAAAACAGACTTGCAATAAACATTCTTAGTGCACAGCATCGGGTGACACTGCTTGTGTGGTTTAGCCCCAATATAGGCATCTTTCAGTTTTAATCTCATCTTTCAAACTGATGTGTATCAGTTCTTGAAAAATGTAACATGTTGACTTAAGTATCTACCAACAATTCTCCATAGTTAGAATCCGGCCTTTCACAACACAGTCCAGAAATATGATCTGATCCATAGCAGTGAAAGGATAGCACATCAGTGCAGGACTCACCACAGATGAAGTCCTCCCAGAAGACATTGTTGCTCCTCCTGATCAGCTGAGGCTGGGTGAGATGGAGCCTGCTGTGAGACGGATAAAACGCAGTGCTACGTTCTCTCTTTTTATAGGACTTTGCTCCTTCTGTGGTCACTTACGTTGGTGTGTCAGAGTGGGTTTAGGGGTGACACCATTTTGGTTAAAAGTTCCATTGCCAAACGAGGTCAGAGAAAAACCTCCTCTTCATGACGGGTAATAATCTACGTCTAAAGGAAAACTGGAAGGGCAGAAATTCATGTTTCTAAACTTGGCAAAAATTCCTCTTTCTGAAGATGACATCCTCTCTTCATTCTTCAAGGAACTCTTTGAAAGCTAAGCAAAGATGCTTTGCTATGGTTTTCTATTATATATTTCTGAACACACACGAAACTTCCACAAGAGCTATGCTCTATTTTAGTGGTACATGGGGACATAAAGGTTGATATAATATACAGGTCTTCTGGTATTATGTACCTCAATTTCCCATTTTATCTATCTTTTAGTCATAATATTCTGGCCAGAAGTTGTGGAAACAATTCCAGAAACTACTTGATGTCCTGCCATAAAAGCAAATAAAAAATAAATACATAATTTAATGATTAGAGGCTATATTATATTTGATTAATGTAGCAACTGTTTTATTCACTATCTGCTCTGCTAAAGGGACTTGTAAGATTTACTATTAAAGGCATGTCTAAGCAAGCAACTTGTTAATATTTGATGGTTTGAGGTTTGATATCATGTGGCTCTTCAGGAGGAATGATATGGCAATAAAGTGAGGGGATGTAGCCAGACAAAGTGAGGAAGGAGTTGAAAATAGAGGTGGAGAATGAAGAAAGGTGATGGAAGAGTAGACAAGAAGGGCAATGGAGAATAGACAGTGGTAAGAACAAGAAGGGAGAGGACAAATGAGGAGAATAAGAGGGAAACAGAGGGAAATAGCTCCCTTTTCTTCTTCACTCTATGTGAGATGAACTTTGATTTTATGTCCTTGAGAATAGTTTTTCCTTGGGACCATAGAGGACTAGGATAGGATGATAAAGGTGAAAGGTCAGTGGATATAGATATGGCTGGCTACATGACATCTAATTTGTCCCCTACCCCCAGTGAGGTGAACAACGTCCACCCCACACCACCCCAGTCCTCTGCTGGTAGCTCATATTCTACATGATAAGGTAGAGAGGTTAACTAGCAGTTCTAACTCAGCGGTTAGAATGTATAAGTTTGCAAAATCTTGGGTATGCTTGCCCTGAGAGCCATTCCTTTGTCCTGTACTAGTAAATAAATAGCTCAGAGAACTGACTGTTTTCAGACTCCCTGTCAGCTGGATTTCAGATGAGCACAGGTAAAGGGAGATTGGAGTACTTAAAAGTGGGAGTAGGGAACTGGAAGAGGAGGGAGAAGCTAGGAAATTTCTCCTTCTGCCTTCCAGAGGACTGCTTAATTTTATTTTTTTAAAACATATTTACTTATTCAATTATTATTATTATTATTTTCAATTTGACCAAAGAGAGAGAAAGGGAAAGCGAGAAAGCAAGCCGCCAGGTCTGGGACTTGAACTATGCTTGGCTGTGTGGGAGGCCAGCACCTTTAACCACCATGCCACCTGCTGACCTCAAGGACTGCTTGATTTTTTTTTAGTGGGGGGAGATTTTTGCTATAGGGCACGTATACTCGCTAGAGAGACAGAGAGAGAGACAAAGAGACATAAAGTGAGAAATCACTTCCCAGGGGAATGGCAGAGCCACAATCCCTCCTCCATTCTCCTCTTGGAATTTTGGGCATGCACGTGCACACACTCAGAGTGAGTTTTAAGCTGCCGGTACAAGACTCAAACTGCAATTAACTATGTAGGAATCCAGGAAAGTAACCATTATACAATCTACTGGTCCCTATTGCTTTTTTTTTTTTTTTTTTTTTTTTTTTTTTTTTTTTTTGTCTCTCTGGTCTTGGCATGATAATAGTCTCCCAGTGATACCAATCTCAGTCACCAGTGTAACCAGTTCCCTGAATCAAACTCCCTCTCTCAAAAGCCTGCAGTGGCTTATATTTCCTGGTTAGAAAGGCCTGAGTGACAAGTGAGGCCATGAGCAGCTGAATCAGTGGCCATGTAGATGACTTTGATAGGAGTAGATGCAGCTAGGAGAGGAAGTGGCATGTAGCTTCAACTGATATGCCTAGTTCTAGTGTTGACATCACCGCTGTAGACAGGAGTCCCTGTGAGCCCTTCTGTCCCATGATCTGCAATGAGGTGGTGACCTCAGAAGTTACAGCTCTCTCACGTGGATCCTGCCCAGATTCCCAGGCCTAGTGCTGTTAACCCAGACTTTCGCCCTCATGGACTGCTTTAGCAGCCACCTTTGCTCTCCCCAGTTGCTGCCTTTAAACATTCCTGCAATGGTTCTCTAGACATATCTCTAAATGCGCCTTTTGACTCCCACTGGCTTGCATAGAGAATAAAATGTAAACCTTTCAGAATTTGAACTCGAGTTTACATAAACTTCCTTCCTAGCGTCATCTCCTACCATGCTCCCTGACTTGGGTTCATGGGTTCTGATTTTCCTTCAGGCCTTCTTCTAAAACATAGACACCTTCTGTTAAGGAACTGTCTCTGAGATGCCCTCCCTCACCCTCAGTATATCAAAATGCTACGTGTCCTTCAAGATCCTGTTCAAATATGTGTTCTAGGGCCAGAGGTCTTTCCTGATTACCTCAGCTGGAATGAACAGCTCTTCCATGCCATGCCGCTTGTAATTTGTTTTTATTTTGTGCTGTTCATTTAGCTTTAAAAAGTGTGCTTAAGGGCCAGCTCCATGGCCTGGTGGATAAAGCAGCCAGATCCCACATGGTTAACTGCACAGTTCAAGTCCCAGACTCAGTAGCTTAAGAAACACACTGGGTACATATACATGCCCCCTATTCTGACAGGGTGGGGAAATCGAAGAGAAGGGATCATAGCATGACCATTCCTCTTGGGTGCTTTCTCCTCTCTCTCTCTTTATGTCTCTCTCTGGCAAGCACATGCACCTTCTATCCAAAAAAAAAAAAAGTAAGTAAAAGTATGCTTGGGACATATGTCTATTTCCATGTTTAGATTTTATTGTAAGTCTTCAAGGCTAGAGTAGTATGCATCTTGGTAACTCCCATGGTGCCTGTGTTATGGTCTAGTCAGTGAGAAATAAGAGGACATCCAGACATAGCCAGATTAATTGGAGTTTATTGATTAAGCCCGTGGAATACAGGGTCCTCATATCTCACAAAACCCCGCAGGCCTGAGTAAAAGGAGAAAGGAGCTTATATAGGCTAAAAATGCACAATCATATCTGGGATGATGTGATGATTTATAAGTGTAAGGTGCAGTGGGCTTGGAAGGGTGAAAGGGTAGGGGGGGAGAGTTTAACAAAGTAAAAGCAAAGGCATGTGACAGAAGCAAAAACAAGCAGGTTAATCATCCCTAAGGGTATGTTTCATCCCAATCTAAACACAATAGGATCTTAATGGTCTTCATGGCTCAGGACAAGGGATCTGGGAACTTATGATCACTTTACTAAGGAATATTTTAGGGTAGGGAGTTTTGGGTGACTTGGCCAAGACAGTAGGAGTGTTAATCACTCTGTTTACTCTAGGCAAAAGGAGAAAGAGAGTTTCCAATATAGAGAGGAAGTCAAGACGGAGGTCTACTTCAATCTCCACTTCTCTTTTACAGGGAGCAAATCATTGATGGGACCTGCAGTTGGCATAATGGCTATGTTGCTGGACTCCCATGTAGTTGACCGTGGTTCGAATCCCAGACCTGGTGGTTTAAACTCATGCCCGGTGCATGTGCATGCATGCATGCCCAAGATCCCAAGAGGAGAATAGAGGGCAGAGATGTGTTTGTGGCTTGGCCATCCTCCTTGTGGGGTGATTTCTCACTTTCTGTCTCTCCGTCTCTGTCTTTCTGGCGAGCACATGCGTCCTATAGCAAAAACCTCTCAAAAAAAAAAATTGATTCCTCAGTATCAGCTAGAGGGCTGGGCGATAGTCTCTTTTGGCAGGGAAGAAGTTTTACCAAATTTTAAGTCCAGTTTGAACTGACTTGGGCTGATTTCATGATCTTCAGTTCCTGGGCACAGTTACGCATGTACAGAAGTGTCTGGTCGGACTCGCTTGGGCCAATGTTCATGGTATGCAGTCACTAGGTTCAGCCCCTTACAGGGAAATTGTAATACAACACTTTCCAAGATAATGCAAGTAGTTTATGGAAGCAGAACAGTATTTTGTTAGGTACTTATGGAAATAACAAAATTTCTCACAAAACGGAAACCATATCAATTTTTCTTTTTGAGTCTCCTCAAATATCTGTTAAGGAGAGTCATCCTGGCAGTGTAGTGCCTGGTCTATTTGGGTTCTAGGTCCAGAGGTAACTAGCATTTAATACTTAATGATCTTTTAACTAAGGGGAAAGTCCAGTGGGGAAGAGGCCTAACTAAAAGAAACAGAGGAGCACAAGAAGGTAAGGGGTTGGGGGAGAAGGCAGCCTGGAGCTCTTAGCCTTAACTTGTTCCCCTTCCCCCTATTCCTTGAGACTCCTATCTTATTAAACTGTTAGACAGTAGTTTTTTAGCTTTCATCTCAGATACATATTGGCCCAATTTTTAATAACCACCCATGTTTACCTTTTCTTTTTCCACCTTGGGAAATTTGATGTTTTAGAGGAGTTATTAGGGTTGTAAAAATAGAATTTCATACATTTATATTGAGCAAATTTTTGATTTTCGGCAACCCCAACTTTTAGCATACACCAGCAGCTTATGAACATATACAAACAATAACAAAACTTGTTCACATTTAAAGACCAATAATGGGAATAACTAAAGCATGTTAACTTAACAACAAGAATTATAAGGAGGACTCAGAGGGAACCAAGCAATAATGTTTCTGCGAATCCATGTTTAACATTGGATTTATATTCCTTTATACCAATTTTACCACTTTAACTCAGCTGCATTGCACTGGCTACT